TTCTGTATGGGAGGGGGGGGGGGGGTTGACAGTCCTTATAAAAATCCCAAATGTGTTCAATGGGATTCAGATCCGGATATTTGGCAGTGCATCTCTTAGAAACCTTTTGGTCAATATCCTTGGGCGTTTAAACCCCTGTCACACCGGGGCTGCGTCCTCACGGCGACTGCACGGCGTCCTCTAAAAATGCAAAACGCCGAGGTGATCGCAGTAGAGTCTCCTACAGCGCCGTGACAACGCAGCGAGATCTCGTTTTTACGGCGCTTCTAAAGAGATTTATCGTCTTGTGATTTTTTCGACTGCGATTACACAGCGACAGCACGGAGTTGTCATTACGATCATTGCGCTCCCATTGCGTTTCTACAGCGTCCGTTGGCGATCACAATGCGCGTTCACGGTGTTGTTAGAGCGTTGTCAGCCACCTCACAAAACAAGAGCAATGGGATCATATTTGATCAGCAATAATTCCAGAGAAAATTACACCAGAACTTTTTCTGTTGTTTCACTAAATTTTGTAGAAAACTTTTCAGTGTGTTTATTTTTTTTACATTCATAAATAAATCAAAGAAAATCTAACAACACATCTGAACCGATAAAATTGAAAAAAAGGAGTTTAATCATAAAACTATTAAATATTAATAATTTAGTACTAAATTATTTAAATAGAGCATTTTTAATTATCTAGAATATTTCTTGACATGATTAGAAGTCTTTTCATCTTGTAACTTGAATTTTTAAACAAAAATGTTTTACATTCCTTCTGAATATATATCAATGAGTACAGAACGCATTGTGAACGCAGCCAGCGGAGTGAGAACGCCGTGAACACGAGGTGAAAACTCCTAACACGCCGTGAAAACTCCGCGGAAGCGCAGTCAATCGCCGAGAGATCTCCGTGGGAAGGCAGTAGAACGCCGTGATATCGCCGTAGAATCGCATCCGTCGCCGTAGGGACGCCGTGACATCTTCATATGGTGAAAATTTTGACTGCGATTCCACGGCGATTTAAAAAATTTAACAACGCCGTAATGACTCCGTGTGAACGCAGCTTGGTGTGACAGGGCCTTAAATTGTGATAAATTGGCAATGAAAATGACACACAACTTGTAGAAAAATGTGTTCAAATGGGTTTTTATATTTTTACAAGTAATATCAAGGACATACATGTATAACACTAAAATAAAAGCGAGTAAAGCGTGAAACAAGGATGATCCAGATATCAACATTCCAAAGGCTCACCATCC